TCTGATAGTATCGACTGTTCAATCTTACTCATGTAGTTACTGTACGCAAGGGATATCTGTGATTTACAATAGCTACGCAATCTTTTAAATTCATTAAGGTCAACTACGCTACCAGAGACACGCCATTTTCTTCGGCAACTATGCTTAAGTTTTAAATTAAAGATAATATCAGCCGTGAACCATGGAGGAAAAGTGGAGCGATTTTTGGTATAAAATGGGACTGAACATTTAATAGTAGAATACAGAAGATCATAAAAAGTTTTAACAGCCTGATTCACATGAGTACATTTAATTACAGATGACTAATCAGTGCACCACAGGTCGTCATAGAGTTTATTAAAATTAGCTTTGCGAAAGTTGAAACGATCACTATTTACTGATGGAAATGGTATAAATTTATTAGAATTTTCCAAATCAATAGAAACTGACAAAGCTGGATGATAAAAATCTTCTTTAACAAAAGGATATTTAGCATGATCCACAACCATTGGACGCTTTAGATTGGAAAAAATTAAGTCAAGCAGATTTCCATCATTATTAGGAATATTGTTGTGCTGGACAACATCAAGTGAATTAGACAGATTCTGGAGTATTCGAAGTTTGGGACATGTGTTGAAATGTTTGTTATAAGTGGGAATATTGAAATCACCAATCAGAATAAACGGTTTGCTAATAAGGAATATTTCTAAAGCTTCAAGAAATGCTTCATAATCGGCAATGGGTAGATCAGGCGGTATATAAACAACAATGAGAAAAAATACAAACTTATTCAAAGAACATTTACAAAAAACAAAATCAATTTTTGGTACCAAGTCAGCTAATTCCTTCATGGTTTGAACTTCAAAGATTATTTTATTAGAAAGAGCGACAATGACTCCACCACCATCAGATTTGTTAGTCAAGTTACATTTTCTGTCACAACGTATGACACTATATTCAGAAGGAAAAAGTTCACTATTTTTAACCGATGCATTTAGCCATGATTCAGTAACGACAATAATATCATAGAAAAGTTCACATGCGTTAACATAAAAGGTATGAGTTTTACTACGTAGGCCACGGGTATTTTGGTAATAAATATAGAGTTTATCAGAAGTACTATTGGGCAAAGTCAGTTTAAAGATCTAGCAGATATAATAGTGGGAATTCCATTTCTATATTTGAGTGACAGATTCTGTTCTCCATTGGCGAGTCGAGTATTGAGTTCAGCTTTAGTGTTTCTGTAGAGAGCAATTTGCATTGGAGTTTTGTCAGATGAAATAAAGATTCCGTTTAAATCAGGTGTAGACTTAAGTTTAGAAGCATTGCGTAAGGCCTTGTTTACAGGTGTAGGTGAGGAAAAGCAGATTTTCAATGGGCGACAGCGGTTTACATTGGTAGAATCAAATTTCCCAAGTCTAAACAATGAGTATTCAGTTTCAGCTATATCTGAAGTACTAAGAATTTGAGAAACTTTGTCACCATCTAGGATATGCTGATCCTTATTAGAATTGACCGTATCTTCTTTGCAGCCATATATCATAATGTTAGACTTTCTTTTTTCACGTTCAGAAATTTCCTGAATAACTTTTTCAGTTTCTAACAATGAGTTGTCATCACGCGACGCTTTATTTTGAGTGGTTGATATAGTGGTTTTTAGCAATATTTTAGTTAATGCAGCACAATGTCTATAACTCGTTCAGTTCTTACTAAAGGACAGCATCGGTATCGATCAATTAGTTGGCCGACTGTACTGCATTGAGTCAAGTCACTATCGGTTGTTTTTGAGGTACAATAAATACATATACATAAGTGTTGAATACTCATTGCAAAATCTCGACTACTAATTGTCGTGTATACGTGTGACCTTGACTAGCGTTTGAATACAGTAGTGCACGCCTATGAATTAAAACCGCCTCACCGCTCGTTAGTCTTTAATAACAGAGATAAAAATTAACTGCGGATTTAATAGTATTATCTTAGACAAAACTTTATCCGTTGATAAATTATTTTTAACAGATAGAGGATTTTTTTGCAACAATTTAGATCAATTTATACATTAAATAAAATTTGAAACAATTTTAAGCTATTATTATTATCCACCATACGTTGGCCTCTAAACTCTTTGAACGTTGATTATAACTGTGGATGTTTTTGGTATGGATTTATTTATGTAGGGGCAAGTGGTACATAGTGGGACGCGGTACATAGTGAGATTTCCTGTATAACACAAAATTTAATTGAAGCAGTGCAACTAGAATTTTAAGATTTAGTTCTACAACATCCTAGTAAACGTGGGTGATAACGCAGTGGTTGCCATTTAAAAGTATTTTTGTGATACACCAACTGATTTCGGTAAGAACTGTTCTGTGTGTGGTTACGAGAAACATGTTGATGGGCGTATTTTTGTTCAATATACATGAAATTCTTTCAATTTCTCGCCATAACTTCAAAAACATGAATCTAAGCTAGTGCATGTGTTGCAATTCATAAGAGCCCTATCACTTTAATAAAATCGTACCTGATTTTCATTTATGCATGACGGTATTTACTGGGACAGTCTGGTATATAGTGGGACAATTATACTTAACTTAAGCATTGTATCATATATAACTCTGAAAAAAAAAATGTTGGTAGGAGTCCAATATGCCCAAATATCCAAGGAGAAGTATGGCAAAAAGGTTTCTCGAAAGTCAATTGCGTCTACGAGAAAGCAAAGAGAAAATACGTAATGCCGTCCATGAGGTTATTTCAAGAAATAGGTATGACTATACGACAAGCAGCAGACCAGTATAAAGTTAGTAAATCCGCTCTTCATAGGAAAATTACGAAATATAAAAGTTTGGAAGATGAAGACAAGGAGTGATTTAATTTTTCCCGAGAACATGGTTTCAAATGCGTTTTTACTACGGAGGAAGAAACTCTTCTAAAACAATATTTGATTGAAGCTGCGCAAATGTGCTATGGTTTGACACTCAAATCAACTCGGGAATTGGCCTATAGATTTGCCATAGCAAATGGAAAAAATGTGCCACAATCATGGGAAAAAAATTAAATGGCTGGAGTGGAATGGGCTCACAGTTTTCAAAAACGAAATCCCGATCTTGCACTTCGTACTCCAGAGGCGACTAGTTTGAGTAGAGCAACTAGTTTCAATAAACATAATGTTGGGCAATTTTTTACCAATTTACGGGAAGTGTTGGACAAATTTAACTTTCAACCAACACAAATCTTCAATTGTGATGAAACAGGTATTACAACTGTACACAGACCCCCTAAAATACTAGCATCATCTGCCCAACGACAAGTTGGGAAAGTTACTAGAAAGAATACAAGAAAAGGCAGAAAGAAAGCGCAGTCATTGATTTTAACTGATACACCAGTTAAAAAGAAAATTGAAGAGGAAGATCGAATGAGATTACTAAAACAAACGAAGAAGTTGCAACCTAATAAGGTAAAGAAGAAGGTATTTGAGGAAAGTTCAGATTCTGAAGACGTGAATGAATAGGAGCTTGCGGATGATTCTACAGACATGGAGAGTTTTACAGAAGAAGAAGATTTCAATAACAATTTAGATGAAGTTTCGGTAGAAGATTACATTTTGGTTAAATATGCTACAAAAAAGACTGTTCGGCACTACGTTGGACAAGTAAAGGCAATACGAAATGAGGAGTTTGAAGTAAGATTTAAAAAAAAATTACTTGGTTCTAAATTTGTTTTCCATGACAAAGATGACGAAGACTTCGTTGACAAGGAAAACATTATTCTAAAATTGCCCAAACCATTTGTGTCCGGTGCGACGCAGAGGTCGTTCCGACAACTTTCGTTCAATTTAGATTTTAGTCAATACAACCTTTTGTAACTTATATGTTCCTTGTACATTACTAAAAATATATATTATTCTTATAAACTTTTTGTGTGAGTAGATTTGTTCATAATGAGTTGCGTTTGAATAGTCCCAGTATATACACTGTCGTTTCCCACTGTATACCACCCGGTGGTTTATTATGGGACAAATGGTACATAGTGGTACAACTTTTTTTTTACGTTAAAAAATTTGTTTTTTAAGTTTTGGGGGTTGATTACATTACCCGACACCGTTTACCTAACAGTAAAACAATATATGATTTGAAAAAATCTAAATTTGCCAAAATTATGAAGAAAAGTTTTTTTACGTCCCATCTCGTACCACTTGCCCCTACACATATTTACAACGAATGACACTTAAGCAACGTGGTTGTGTTGGAACTCTGCGGCGACGAGGAGCGCGGTGTTCTTGTGATCTTGCTGCTTCTGTGGACGATGGCGGAGAGAGCGAGTTGTGCTTCCATCAGGCCTTTTCTAGTCTCGCTTCTCGTTTTCGCTTCTGCGTGGTACGCCAGCCAATTAGCAGGCGTACGGTTGGTTGCCTATAGCGCAGGCAACTTGCTCGCCACATAACAATATTTTAAAGATTCATTATTATCTCTTGGACCAAATAAATACATACATATATTAACTAAATTAAATGCGGAACATTTGTTAACGGTGTATGTTTTCAACACGATAATGATCACCAAAATAGATTCAATGAATTCTTGGTCATGACAACAGTAACGCCCCTGCCATTTGAACATACGCTAATAGTTTACAATGGTTTAAAGCCTAAATAGATTGAAACTGCAGACTTCAGATTTTCATTAAGTTGTTTAATCGTTTTTTATACAAACAATCAGATGTTTGAAATTCAAAAACAGCAATTTAAGTTCGCCATTGACAATAAGAATGAAGTAAATTCAATTATCTTATTCATCATAATAGTGCAGTAGAGTTTGGGATACATTTTAGTTTAACTGAATATTGTTTTATATTTAAAGAGAAAAATATCTATTTTAAAAAATTATAACTGATTTCTTAGTTTCCAGTAATTTAAAATTGTCTTATAAATACTATATTTATTACTATTATCTAAAGAATATCTTATCTCCCAAATGCGTCGAATTGTCTTAATTATTTTGTGATAAGTTCCTTTTGTACTTAGAGTAAGGAAGTTGCAGTAGTACTGTTTAGCACTAGCATTTTTAGGTTCGTAAAATTTTGATTCATTCTAATTCTTTTAAGCTGAGTATAAAATAATTCATATTTGCGCCCTTAGTGTTTTTTATTAGTGTTATGGATGACTTGATAATTGGGATCGATCTGGGTACAACAAATTCCTGTGTTTCACTATATACAAACGGAAGAATAAAAATTTTAGAAAACGAATCCGGCTTAAGAATCACACCTTCTTTTATATACGTCTCACCTAACGGAGAAATCGCCATTGGAGAACATGGCAAAAAGATGTCCAAGCATAAACCAGAAAATGGAATTTATGGTAAAATATACAACTAATCTTTTGATACCTTTCTAACGAAAATTTTTTAGAAATGAAACGACTCGTGGGCCGACAGTTCGACGACCCCCAACTCCAGGAAAGTTTAAAATATTTTCCCTTCAAAGTAATAGCGAGCCGTTCAAACTTTCCGTTGATTTCTGTTAAACAAAGAACGGGCAGGGTGAAGAAGTCTCCGCAAGAATTGTACACAATGCTCCTGAAAGAGTTAAAAAAATATACCGAAGAAAAACTCAAACAAACTATCAACAAAGCGGTGATAACTGTCCCTGCCTATTTCAACGTCACCCAACGGCAAGTAACTTTGGAGGCCGCAAAAGACGCCGGATTTACAGTCTTGAAACTTCTAAACGAACCTACTGCCGCTGCTTTGGCTTACTATTTTGACAATGACATCGAAGGAACACACCGTTCGCTGGTGTACGATTTAGGAGGTGGCACTTTCGATGTTGCAGTGTTAGAGAAACGTTTCGAAAAAATAGAAGTGCTTTGCGTAGCCGGAGACACCCAATTAGGAGGACACGACATTGACACTAGTCTTTTGAATTACGTTTACCGAATACTTCGAACCCAGTATGGTTACGACCCGGCGGCCGATCCGGACGATAAAAAAAGGTTACGCATCAAATGCGAAGAAGCAAAAAAAGAACTGTCGACACTTACAGAAACTGTGATTTTCATAAACGGATTGGTCCCGAAATATCCGAGAATCAAAATAAGTCTGACGAGAAAAAAGTTCGAGGAGATGGCGGACAAGTTATTCAGAAGAACGATAGCTATTCTTGACAAATGTTTACAATTTTCAAATATTTCGAAACGATCGATCCAAGAAATTATTTTATGTGGTGGTTCCACTAGAATACCGAAAATTCAAAAACTAATTTCTGATTACTTCGAAGGAAAAGAATTGAACAAGTTCGTCAATCCGGATGAATGTGTGGCCGAAGGAGCAGCTTTACAAGCGGCCATGTTGTCGACGAATCGGAAGCAAAAAATCGATGAACTTCAGATGGTCGACGTCGTTCCTCTGTCCATAGGTACTCGAGGACACAGTTGTTGTGACGACATGGTGTTTTTGATTAAAAGAGGTTCGAAGCTACCCACCAGTGCAAGTCAAACTTACATAAACATTGAAACTGATGAAACCACTTTTTCGTTTGACATATATGAAGGAGAACGGTTAGATATTAGAAAAAATCGCCATTTAGGCACAGTCTCACTAACTAACGTAGAAAAGGCACCACCTCTTCAGAAACAGGTAATTTTTACTTTGTTCATCGACCAAAACGGTATACTAACCGCACAAGCCACGGAAAAGTTTCGCGATAATACAAAGACGGTAAATGTAAATTACACCTGTGGAGACCGAAGTGATGGCGAGATTCGAAACTCTGTGTTGGATGCTGCAGAAAACAAGAAACATGATGGCAAGTTTATACGTTTTATACAGTTTAAGAAGTATTTGATTCAATATTGCATAGGTATCATGTATAATTTGAATGAAAAATCGTTAAAGAGCAAATACAAAGATCTGTACAATTTTTGTAAAGTTACTAAAAAAACTGCAGAAACTTTAGAAATGGATGATGAAGTTCACACAAAAGAACTTATTGCAGAGTGTGAACAACGATGTAAATACATAGTAAAAACTTATAATTTCGATTGTATGCCTAGAGATTATGGTCATTTGTTATTTTCGTAAATTAAATTTCGCTAGTGCTTATACTGATGTCAGAAAGGCACTTTAGAATATTTTATATCTTTATTACCTTTAATAAATGAAAATACTCAAGATATTACTTTGTATTATATCTTGTACACTTACCCACAATTAAAAAAATCAACCACACAGAAACGGCGGGACAAAAATCTTTATTAGCTCTACAACAATAGTAACTATAATAAGAGTTAAAGACATTATTAGAAAACAGAATTAGCTGTTGGATACACCTTACCCTTCAACCTTTGCCTTCACCCTAATTCTCTCATTAGGAATACTTTCTGTGGCATAGACAGAGATATGTAAAAGACTATTAATACAGATATTTAATGTTCTCGTGGACACATACGTTTAGGGCCAATATGTACACTGTACACAATCCATATACTGGTGCTGATATAGAAAAGGATAGACGACATAAAGTATTGCTATTGTTAGATCATACATGTTGGCTCCAGATCGGGAAAGCTCTGACCACATCTGTCTTGTACAGATGTCTGATAGACCATATAACCTTGTTGTATTTCGGAGACTATACTTCAAGATCCTTATTCATTGCCATAATAATTTTTTTCATGTAACTAAGTAGCGCAATTACAGTTGGCCTGGAAGAAACCATGCTTTTTATCAGAAATTATAGTTTTGAAGGCCGAACTGACATGATTGTACGCAATTGTTTTAAGCAACTTACTAGGTACAGACAAAATAGAAACAGGCGTACACCTAACTGTCTCCAAAAGATTACCGCATGATGAGCAAGTACAACATGTGCAAATTTCCACAACGATTGCTATTTACCGGTTCTCAAATATAAATTGAAGATCAGTTGCAATGGCAAAGTTAACGAATCGGCACACTTTTTGTAAAATAATGGAGCTTTTTTATCAGGATCATGACCCTGTTTGCATCCAACTTTAGTAAATCGTCAACAACGTCACTGCAACTAATAAAGATATCGTCAGCTTCACAACGGAATCATAACTATCATTAAAAGTAGGCGCACTCCTATCAATCACAATATACAGAGGAGAAATACCCACTAAGAGATTGTTAGACAAATTGTTATTTCATCGCCTAAATTCATAAGTAGAGACAATATATTATTTGAAGATTACGAATATCATTCCAGAAATACTTAGTATTATCCAACCTTCAGTTGTCAAATGTAGTTATTGTAGGCTTAATTCATAATTACTCAACATAATAGTATTGGTAATTTAAATAATAGACAGTTGGATCTTATTTTCTCCAACTTTCGGAAAATTCAAGTAAAATGTGAAGAAAATCCTTTTGTACGTGAAGATCCGCATCATCCGACACTCTCAATTACTGTGGAGTTTTTATTTCAACCTGAAACCGTGCCATTCCCAACTATATGTACCCCCTCTTATAACTTTCGCAAGGCCAATTTTATCACCTTGTATGAAGACCTTCTTGCTGCTGAGTGGACCTTCTTAGAACATTTTGTTGATGTCAATCAAGCCCTGGAAGCATTCTATGATCATTTACACTCCTTAATTAAAAAGTCTGTGCCACTGTATACTTCTCAGCGTAAACATTCCTATCCGCCTTGGTTTACACCATCGTTAATCGCTAGTCTAAAGACTAAGCTATTTTATAGAAAGAAATGGTTATCCTCCAAAAATGTTCTCTTTTTTAATGAATTTAAACGACTTCGAACACACTGTAAGATTCAAATTTCTCTTTGTTATCGGGCCTACATAGACAGGGTTGAACAATCAGTCTGCAATAACCCTAAAGAAATTTTCAAATACTTGCAAATGAAGCGTGGTACTACGCGAATACCGGGCAAGATGTATCAGGAAAATCTATCGTTTGAGACACCATATCAAATAGTAAATGGATTTGCACAGGTTTTCTCTGATATATATCTACCTAGTTCAAGTTATAACTTCAAAGATGATTCCTATAGCAATATTCCATCTCTCGCTTTAGTTCGAGTCCGCGAAGATGATATAATTAAAATTATGGCTTCTTTTCCCATTAAGCACACGGCTGGTGATGACCAGATACCCAGCTTTATGATTCATGATGCAAGATATGCGTTGGCTCAACCCCTGTCGGTGATCATTAATAAGGCTATTGAAAATTACACTTTTCCGAACAAATGGAAGCGAGCACGAATTGTGCCTGTGCACAAGAAGGATGATATCTCGGATCTAAAGAACTATCGACCGATAGCAATTATTTCTAACTTTGCAAAGATATTTGAGTAGGTGATTTATAAATCCATCATGAATAATGTTCGGCCCTATATATCTCAAAATCAGCATGGTTTCTTGCCTGGAAAATCTACAACCACCAATTTAATAACTATTACCCAGTTTATCTGTGAGCATCTTGACGCTAACAGTCAGGTAAATGTTGTATACACAGACTTCTCCAGTGCATTCGACACTGTGGATCATGGAATTCTGCTTCGCAAACTAAGTTCGTTTGGACTTACAAGGTCATTTATTTCTCTCATTGAATCTTACCTTTCAGATAGAGTAAACTATGTAACCTACAATGGATCTAAATCAAAAGATTATACGCCAACATCAGGTGTTCCGCAAGGATCCAATCTTGGACCTTTGTTTTTTGTCCTATTCATCAACGACCTCTTAGAGTTACTTAAGTGCCCTACACTTGCGTACGCTGATGATCTAAAAATATTTGCTTCTATTTCCTTATGTTGCTGATGTAAGATTTCTCCAGGATAATTTAAATATCATTTCACAATGGTCGTTCTCCAATCGTATGAAACTGAACATCGATAAATGTCAGTTTCTTAATTTTTCTCGTCAACTTACTCCAATGTCCTCCTCCTACTATATAAATGATCAGCCACTAGTTCAAGTTAACACAATGAAAGACCTTGGAGTGTATTTTGATTCAAAACTTACGTTTATCGACCATATTCGAGCCATATCTGCGTCGGCATCTAAATCTCTCGGATTTATAATGCGAACCTCCACCCTCTTTAAAAGTTTACCTCTGCTAAAGTCTTTGTATTTTTCTTTTGTGTTAAGCAAGCTAGAATATGCATGTGTTGTATGGTCGCCAATTTATGTGTGTCATCAACTGGCTATTGAAAAAATTCAACGACGCTTTCTCAAACTTATGTCCTTTAAGACTTATGGAGCTTACCCAACCCAGAAATGTGGACTATGACTTTTTGTTGTCCACTCATAATATATTTTCATTAGTTGAACGTAGGAAAATACATGGTGCCCACTTTATCTGGAAGCTGCTTCACAATTTTGTAGATTGTCCCGAAATTCTATCACATATAAATCTACATGTGCCAAGGCTTAATGTAAGACATGCATCAACTTTCAATTTTCCAACACCGACAACCAACGTGCTAAAGAAATCGCCTATGGTAATAATGTGCCGTGATGCTGAGGTCTTTTATAATGACATTTTTAGTGAAAAATTATAGGTGTGAGGTCAAATGTATTTATGTTGGTATTTCACTCTTTTATCTAGAGTTTTTCTTGTTAGTTATAGGTATATTAATTTCAAAGTTTTAATTGGTAATTTTATTTTTGTATGTATATATTGTTTGTGTATATTAGCGTGTTCATTGTATTCTATATGTTGTCCTCTAAGTGGGTTGTAACCTGTTGGGCAATAAAGGTTTATTATTATTATTATTATTAACATTATTATAATTAAATCATTATTATATTGTAGTACTCATGGTGTACGATTGTGCTGTGCAATACTCACTGCTTTTAAAATGAAATTACCAAACTATTAATATTAAAAATCACATCATAGTGTAACACTCGCTGAAATATTGGTCAGGTAACATTATCTTTAGATAAAATCTTCCAGAACATTAAAAACTGTTAATCTGGTATATCAATGTTTTTTAGCGCTCTTGCTCAGCATTAATCAGCTCGATATCTCTATTTTTATTTTTCGTTGTGGCGATAACTTATTTTTGCCGAGGCGATTGACAACACAGGATTTATATTATTCCGTAATATCCCAGTGACAAATTAACACCTTACCGTGGCCTCAACCCATTGTTTGTTATAATTAGTCACCACGAAGATATTGTGCCCCCGTTATTTTCCTTTTTTTTTAACAATCAATACCGATATTCCAATATGAATACCTGTTCAAATAGTAACGGCGCAGCGTAATCAAACCCAATACTTCTTCAATCAGTTACGTTGGCTGTCACGGGCATCTGCACATAAATTGTGTGGAGCTATCAGAAAGCGATGTCAAGCTAACCCGTAATAAAACCAAATCTGTAAAGTTTGTTTGTAATACCAGTTAAAAGATCTCGCTAATCTCCAATCTTCAAGCCGAATTTAATGAATCTCTCCTCGAACTCAAAGTTGAATTTCAAGTCTTCGGTGGGAACCGAACCCCACGCCTCCCGCTTGCCGAGCAGGTATCCTGATCACTAGACCACGAGGCCACTTATCTTTCTTCGCTTACCGACGTGTTATTGTGTCGCCACATTGTTAACAATAATCTCGCATCAGTTAAGCCATCTCTACCACCAAATTATGGCTCGCGGATTCAAGGTTTGGGGAAATTTTCTGCAACTAATACACACCCAAGACTGTTGTAAAGTAAAGTAGGTTATTGTTGAATTTTATAATTTCATTTCGCCATAGTTTTGTTAGCTTTATTAAATTAGGTTGCTTGTCCAAATGTTTTGTAATCGTTGAGTCCTCTGTATTGTGTAAGAAAATGGTCAGTTGCCCTCGTTACGAGGAAGTGATAAATGGAGGAGTCAACGAGGAGTAAGGAAGTGTGTGTAAAGTAATTAACCTAAATTGTAGACCCAATTACACAAGTAACATATCGTGTCTATATCAAAATGTCAAAGGTCTTAGGACGAAGATCCACGAAATTTATACCCCTATGTCCACTTACAATTATGATTTTGTCGCTGTCACCGAAACTTGGTACAGCCCAACGACTTTTTGGACTTTTGTGGAGGATAAGAAACGACAGACAAGAATGCCAGGAACAATGCTGTATGGTGGTAATCCGGTAATGAACTTTCCGATCCAGAGTCAATAGTCAACGGCTACGGGCAATATTTTAACAATGTTTATATCAAATCTCAACCAACTGCCATACAAGATTATGTTGCTGACTTTTTTATGAATTTTACGGTTACCATTCAATCACTCGAGAAGAAATCCTAAATAATCTCAAATAACTAAAAGATTCATTTACGTCGGGAATTGACGGAATACCAAGTTTTCTTATAAAGAATTGTGCTGTTTTTCTTTAACCTCCATATAATTTAATCTTGAAAACACTTACTTTCCTAAAGTCTTGTAAAAAACAGTAATTTGTCCAATTTTTAAAAAGGGCAACATTTACGAAATTGAAAATTACAGGCCGATATTTTTGCTGTGCAACTTTATCAAAGTTTTTGAGATTATATTATATAATCGGATATATCCCATCGTCAAAACAATCATATCGCGATTTCAACATGGACTCATGGAAAAGAGATCAACGGTGTCAAATTTATCGGAAGTTTTGGACAGTGGTGGTCAGCTGGATGTCTTATACACCGATTTCCAAACGGCTTTCGATCAAGTTGGCTATTTTCTCCTGCCAAATAAGTTACACCTTATAGGTTTTTCCAATCCACTGCTAAAAGTATTTTACTTGTATTTAACAGGACGAGAGCATTGCTATTCATACCAAAAGTGTCAGGTAAACTTCAACTCTTCGCGGGTTCTTCTAGTGGCAATATTTCTTCCTCTGCTTCGATTCTGCCAGCATCTAATAAAGTATTATATAAAAATCCAAAATTACGTGTATTTGGTTCACGGACATCTTTATTGTATGTATAACTCATCTCGGTTATTTTTGTCCGCCTGAGATTTTGTTGCCACAGAGCTGGCAATTAAATTGGGTCTTTTCCATTTTCCGCGTAATTTTAAAAAATTTGCAATAGTCATTAGTACACTACCTAACGTGTTTTTGCCGACTGGTTGTCTGGTGCACTGATTGTTACGAAATGTTAAGAAAAATCTTCTTTCTGATATTCGCTTTGGTCTTAATGCAGCATATTTTCGAACTATTTCTAAACACCAAGTTGTTTTTCTTCAACAATAGTAAAACTTTTAGCTTTGCCAGTTTTTGTTTCCTTAATTTTTACAACAATAACAATAACGCCTTTATCTTCAATATCGTCTACAGTGAGCTTAACCATCTCATCACTCCTCAATCCTTCAAAGAGATCCATCACAACAAGTAAATATCTGTCGCCGGGCAAATCTTTTAGAAACTGCATGACTTGTACGCCAGTCAATACTCTGGATTTTTTTCCACATGACCTTTTGAGTTTTTTTTGTAAAGATGTCAAACGGTGATAATTAGAAATGTCTATGTTGTCGTGTACTATTAAAATTGCCTTGACCATCGAATATTTTGACCATAAGGAACTGGATGAATATTTTTCTGACTAAAAATGAAGAACACAGTTAAATAATTATTTTATAAACTGAATAACTTACCAAATCTTGGAAGTAAGCCATCACAACTCTCTGACTGATAATATTTACTGAATCTTCCAATTAAGGAAGATTTTGTATTCCTTTTCGTATATGGATCTTGATGTTCCAGGTAACACATTTTGATTGGGTTTTTACGCTTTCTTCAAAATGTGTTCTGGAATTTCACAATTTTCGTCATTCATTTCCGCGGTCGAAAACATGCGTGTTGACACCACTTGAATAGACGTCGTTTACAGTAAACAATCATAGAATCTATTTGATAATAAAATCAACGCCACGTTCATTTTTATTTACGAATTAATTATACATTGTTTATTTTTAGATTTTTTCGTGAAAAATAAAAGTTTGTATGCACCACGGGCAACTTACAAAATCTAGGGCCAGAGGCCTTCGATTTTGTAAACGTTGCTCTCGAATATAAACATCTTCATTGTGCCCTTGGTATATAAATAACTATTTGATCAGTTATGCTGGAACTGGTTGTCCTTTACAAATTTTAAGCTGACACGCTTAGGTAGGGGCTGTTTCAAAAAACTGGAATTGGCATATTAAACAAGAATAAAGGCCTTTTCGGTTAGCAAATATTAAAGTGAAAATGACACTGACCCATTTTCACATCAAAGGGGAAAACTGTATGGTTATTGAAAGAAAAAATCACAGAGTTATAAAGAGTAAGTGACTCTACGTTTTTCTGCCTAGTCTCTTTTCGTACTTTTTCTGCCACTCATCACTTTATTAGTGCTTTAAGAATTTAAAATAAATCTAACTGATTTTTATCTCAAGTTTTTACATTTCAAGATTTTCATGTGCAATAAATTAGACCAATTTCACATTTAAAGAAAATATATCATGTTTTATTCGGAGAAAATTTACTTTTCCTAACTTATCTGTGTTGTATGTTGGCTTCGAGCGCTCGGTATTAAAACCTATAGATTCGCCAACAGAAAACAAAAATTATAAAGAATTATTTAGAAGCAGTTTTTTATTCTCTACAACCTTTGTGTTTAACATGGTCCTCTATAAGACAAAGAGGAGAACCAAGATTTTCAAATTTTCTTTTGTTTTTACATGCATAATCCCTATGTTCAAAAAATTGGTCTAAAGAGTTAGACAGTACTTCCCTCGCTGTCGGAAGCGTGACGACTGCGTGCCTATTATGTTTTTTTTTTCACAGTAGATTTCAAAGCATTCGCTTTTGTAGTTCCTGAGTAAACCAATAGTTGGGTCACCCTGTATATGCAAATCCAAAAAATATGAATGGAATGATAAATCACGAGAAGAGACTCATCATATTTTGTACATTTTAGATAGGGCAAACTTTGGAGCTGACGTCATCAATTTTTTGGAGGGGATAAGCAAATATATTTTGACTAAACATTTATTATGCTCTTTATAACCTTAAAACATCTGCAGGATTTCAAAGCATTCGGTTTTGTAGTTCCTGATTAAATCAATAAAATAAATTCACGCATTCATTAATTTTTTTGAGTCACCCTGTATATGCAAATCGAAAAAATTTGAATGGAATGATAAATCACAAGAAGAGACTCACCATATTTTGTACATTTTAGATAGGATTTATTCAGCCAAATTTTGTGGTGACGTCATAACTTTTTTAGGGGAGGACGACCAAATACATTGTGATCAAAAATTTACCATGCCAATGATAATTTTAAAACATCTTCAAGATTTCAAAGCATTCGGTTTTGCAGTTCCTGAGTAAATCAGTAAAATAAATTTACGCATTCATTAATTTTTTTGAGTCATCCTGTATATGCAAATCCAAAAAATAAGAATGGAGTGATATATCACAAGTACAGACGCATCATATTTTGTACATTTTAGATAGGATTTATTCGGCAAACTTTTGAGCTGACGTCATCAAGTTTTTGGAGGGGATAACCAAATATATTTGGACTAAAGATTTATGATACTCCTTAGAGCCTTAAAACATCTGCAACATTTCAAAACATTCGGGTTAGCAGATCCATAATTAAATTGCAAAATGTTGTTTTATAGTTTTGATTTTTTTTCCAAAAATCTGGAGGTTTCGGGTAAAAACTCAATTCGGAGTCGGAAACTACACGTATAGGACTATGTTATTTTATACAATTTAAGACCCATTTGCTATGTACAATTTTGAAGTGACGTTATCGATCGCATTAGGGGTTGGGATGATTAGACAAATTTTGGTTAGCGTTTTACCATCTACATGATATTCCTAATATAACTAGAAAATTTCACAACAATCGGTCCAGTACTTTCGGAGATTATCTGTCTAATAAAAATTCGGGACGGCAGACAGACGGACAGACGGACGGAAATGGGAGACCTATTTCTTCGTCTTCTAGGGGTCATGAAAGATCGAGAAAACGTAAAAGTAGAGAGTCGGCCGACGGACTCGATTACAATACTTCCTTTGCTTACGCTCGGGAAGTAATAAGCAAAAGGTCAGCTTTACATTTGGAGTAAATTTTAACCGAGTTAAAATTAGATAAAAATACTGAGATAATAAGATTCATTCGAGCAAAACAAGTTCAGAGTACAGGAATTTCCGTGACGAATTAGCGAAGTAACTTGCAAAATTGATTTAATGATTAAATCAACAATTTTGATATCAGCGATGATTAAATAATTTTCCTTGTGAATTTGTTACGATTTTCGTTAAACTAGGTTTTAGATAAACAAAAAAAGATAAACTGCGAGAACAAAAACCGTTAATCTCTTAGATTTTAAGGTGATTGAAACCCACCAAAGCATTTTACTGATGTTTCGAAACCACGAAATAAATGTATGATACGACTGATATTATTAAAAGTTTTATCACCCACAAAAAGGATGTAACTAATCAACTAGTTAATTTAGAACGCAAAAAAGATGTATCAAAAGTTCGGGAAATCATTATAACCGGCAATGAAATAGATCAGCAACATCGGAAAAACAAAATAAATCTGACGAGAAGAGTTCGAAGCTATGGCGGACAAGCATCACCAGAATACCGAAAAATCAGAAAATAATCTCTCATTATTTCGAGGGAAAATAACGCTTCTTGGATATTAGAAGAAATCAACATTCTCAGGTATCTAGTGAATACAAGTTTAAGAATTCTTTATAATCAAAATCTCTGGATAAATAAGATAGGGTAGGGAGACCATATTAGGGCACAGCTTACTGCATTGTAATTTGGAACATATGTGAAATACATAAAGTCTGAAGGACCACTGGATTACTCAAGCATCTACATATTCTGACACTAAAACATAAAAGTTCAAAAGAAGATCTTTCGTAACCGATTAGTCACGAGAAAATTATTTCTAAAAATTTCTTTTACGACATTTTATTCAAAGGATATACCTAACTTAAACTCAAAAAGTAAGTAAATAATTTAACTACTACAATTGTTGAAAATGTTGGGCATGTTTTGGGGGGGGGGGGATGCTACGGTTTTTTTTGTAAATGGGTGCTCCAAGAGGTCCAGAAGCTGCAGATTTGCACTTCGAAGAGGCTCTAGGTGATGGAGAGATGGCGAATTAACACATGCACCTTAGCGGGGAACAAAATTGGTAGAACACTTACGGCTGTAGTATAGCCCAGATTGATAGAGGTACGTCGATCGAATCGGGCTGTAGAGCGGAGTAAACGATGAAAAATAAAGTTAAAAATTAACTAACGTCAAAGTCAAAGCAATCATGGATTAGGCATTTCATTTTAAATTCAGATAGTATCAAGGTATCAGGGTATTAATATTTTGGGTTCAGAAATAATTTTCTCGTGACTAACCCTGTAAATATAGGAATATTAATGGTCTTAAAGCTGAACCTTGATGTACGGCCAAATTTGAGAAAATAGTACGAATTAAGTCCATTGTGGACAACTGGCGTCTTCAAAAAAATTAATAAACCTGTTACTTAATCTAAAATCGCCATTCTAAGATGATAATTGTTTTAAACAAACGGAACGGATAACAAATTACAATTCATTAAATATTTGTATTTCAACGGAATATATATTTCTAATCGTTTTCAGTAAACACTTCTTGATAACCAACGCGCGGAACTGTATCTCATACGCTAGAACCAGTGCTGTCGCGGCTATAGTTTGATTACAAATATATTTTTCGTTTGGACTATTTCAACATAATATAACATTTCAAGATCACAAATCTGTGTCCCTGTAGTTGAAAAATTAAAAAGGCATCACGTATTATTATTTGAAGTAATATTAATAATGTAGAAGTAGTTTTTTAACTAGCTGTAAAAACTCCTAGCGACGCACTGTGACCTTGTGGACCAGATCAAGGCATACACGCTACTCGCCATAAAATACACCTTATTTCAACTGGGGGATTGCAGCGGTGAAACAAATTCCCGCGTACTGTTGATAACGCTTGTATGATTGGTGTATGTCTGTGATTTTCGTTATTAAAAATTGTTTCAAAAATATCTTATTTACTATTATCTCAAGACTATCTTATCTCGAGTTGGTAAGCTTATCTATATTATTTAGCGTAAATTTAGTCACAACTTTGAGTAAGGAAGTTCCATCCAGCAGCGTTCAGGATTGAACTAGTTTAGGTTTGTAACAGCTTGATTAATATTAACTCTTTTAAAATACATTCAAAATAAATCAAATTAGTATTATGGACGACTTGGTAATAGGCATCGATCTGGGTACAACAAATTCCTGTGTTTCCATATATAAAAACAGAGTGATAAAAATTCTAGAAAACGAAACCGGTGGAAGAACCACACCTTCGTTCATTTTTTTTACGCCTGACGGAGAAATCGCCATCGGAGAACATGGTAGAAAGATGTCTATTCATAAACCAGAAAATGGAATTTATGGTAAAGTAAAAAATTTTTGTGATAAACCTTCAAGGAAAAGTTTTCAGAAATGAAGCGGTTGGTGGGACGCCAGTTTGACGATCCACAACTCCAAAAGAGCTTGAAGTATTTTCCTTTCAGGGTAACAGCGAGCCCCTCAAACTTTCCGCTGGTTTCTGTTAAACAAAAACAGGTAAGAATGAAGAAGTCTCCTCAAGAATTGTACACCGTGCTACTGAAAGCGCTAAAAAAATATACTGAAGAAAAACTCAAACAAACTGTCAACAAAGCGGTGATAACTGTTCCTGCTTATTTCAACGTCACCCAGCGAGAGGTAACGTTAGAGGCGGCAAAAGACGCCGGATTTACAGTCTTGAAACTTTTAAACGAGCCTACTGCTGCCGCTTTGGCTTACTACTTTGACAATGACATCGAAGAAACACACCGTTGCTTGGTGTTCGATTTAGGAGGTGGCACTTTCGATGTGGCAGTGTTAGAGAAGCGTTTCGAAAACATAGAAGTGATTTGCGTAGCCGGAGACACCCAGTTAGGAGGACATGACATTGACACGTGTCTTTTGAATTACGTTTACCGAATACTTCGAACCCAGTATGGCTACGACCCGGAAGCCGATCCCGACGATAAACGAATATTACGCAACAAATGCGAAAATGCGAAAAAGGAACTATCCACAATTCCGAAAACCTTGATAACGTTCAACGGAATGGTCCCTAACTATAATAAAATCACCATCAGTCTTACGAGAGAACAGTTCGAAGAAATAGCGGACAAGTTATTTGAAAAAACCATAGCCGTTCTGGACAAATGCTTAAAAATGTCGAAAATTTCGAAACAATCCATCCATGAAGTGATTTTGTGTGGTGGTTCCACCCGCATACCGAAAATTCAAAAACTGGTTTCTGATTATTTCGAAGGAAAAGAATTGAACAAGTTCGTCAATCCCGATGAATGTGTGGCTGAAGGAGCAGCCTTACAAGCGGCCATGTTGTCCACGTGTCAAAAACAAGAAATCCAAGAAATTCGCATGATCGATGTTGTTCCTTTATCTATCGGTGTTCAGGGGACGACTTTCTGTCACAACATGTTGTTTCTTATTAAGAGGGGCACGAAGCTACCCACGAGCGCAAGCCAAACTTACATAAACATAGAAACTGATGAAACCACCTTTTCGTTTGAAATATATGAGGGAGAACGGTTAGATGTTAGAAAAAATCGCCACTTAGGCACAATCTCACTAACTAACGTAGAAAAGGCACCACCTCTTCAGAAACAGGTAATTTTAACATTGTTCATCGACCAAAACGGTATACTAACCGCAGAAGCCACGGAAACGTTCCGAAATAATACAAAAACGGTAAAAGTAAATTACACTCGCGGAGACAGGAGTGATGGGGATATTCAAAATTCTTTACTGGATGCTGCAGAAAACCAAAAAAGTGATAAAGAATTTATACAGTTTGTTCAGTATAAGGGTTATTTGATACAATATTGTATAGGTGTTATGTTCAACTTGGATGAAAAAATGTTAACAGATAGATACGCAGAATTGTACAACTTTTGTAAAGTTACTAAGAAAACGGCAGAAACTTTAGAAACGTGTGATGAAGTTCGCACGAAGGAACTTATTGAAGAATGTAAACGACGGTGTGAAAACATAATAAGATCTTATCGTTTTAGTGATATACCCAGGGATTGTGATTATGTGAAATGGTCGTAATTTGGACTTTGTGAACATTTACGAATGGATTTTTTTATTAATATTTAATAAACGAAGATGTGTACTTTAAAATGGTGCCTTATATTTATACACAACTACACGAGCAAAAAATACAAACACTAAAATTATTAGACATTCACCCTATTATTTATAAACCGTTCAGAATGTTTCTAGGCAAAGCTAGGCCATGTAAATCTGCTAATATGGTTGCAACCGATTTCGTATATGCAAAGATACCTCATGAAACACGATATTTATCATATTAGGTAAAGTTGTTTTTAATGTAAAGTTACAAAAACCTAACAAAAACTGTAACATTGTTGCCAGTAATTTGACACTTTGTGTTTTCCATTCTAATAAGTTCAATTCAAAGCAATGACGTAAACAATTATTATTTTAGAATTTAATAAACATAAACTGTTATAAAGTCTACCTGATTAAAAACTAAACAAGAATTCTATATATACTTCGATGATGTTGGAAATTTTTTCTAAACAAAATACCATATGTAACACTTTACTCAAAAATTTGTGAAGTAAATATGCAGCAAGATCGAGAACTATAGTATAATGTGCATAAAATAAAATGGTTATTTAAAAACTGGTAATACCTATTCCTTTCAGTTAAACAATTTCTCAAATTAAGAAAAAGATGCTCTGGTGCGTTTACGCTTTAGTATTTTATTCCATTTCGATTATTTCACTGACTTTGGATCAGATTCATCTAGTGAAATACTCAAAGAAGAAATGTCTTGATATGAAAAATTTCCCATATGTGGTTTTCCAGTCTGAAAAAATAAGTTTTCACAATGTCCACAAGAATTTTGCCACATGTTTGGAGTACATTTAAAAAGAGCTTGAAGCCATAAATTTTCCACCCTATCCTTGGATGAAGGCGGAGAATATGTGTTGTAGTAATTGTTACAAAACCCCCACGCCATTTCCTTCGGGTTGTATTGACAATTGTATGGAGGTAAAAGGTTTAATTAAATCCCACTATTGTTTTTTTGGAAATTTTTATTATTATATATATATTATTTTTATTTTATTAAATGCTTATTATGTTAGTACGAGGAGTAATAATATTAAGTACATTTTTAATACGAACGCTTACTTTATTTGCCTTCAGATCAGGACACTCCAGACGACCACGCAAGATTTTGTATAAAAACAACACTGATTACCGTTTGCGGCGAGACATTAACGAATCCATTCAGCAACAGATCGTGCGGAAAACCCCTAGGAGGATAAATATTATCACTGAACAATACCAATGATTTTGGAAATCGACTTAGACTTTTTTCAAGAGCGACTACCTATATAAATTATACTGTGGTGACCACACAAGTCGAGATCTGACAAAAGTTATGTACAATAATTTGAGAGTTTCAGTATCACTGAATGCATGTTCATTGAGAATAACAAAACCCAGAGAACGAAAAGCTGAGCTAGCAATAGATTCAATATAATATTTTATTTAAGGTAAAGAATATAAAAATATAAAATTATTTCAGCGTTTTATTTAGAGCATTTTTTTTTTCTAAAAATCAAAATATAAAAATATCTTAAAATGGACTGCAAATGCCGTTTCTAAGACGTCAATACATCACGTCAATAATAATTCGTTACAAAATGACGACTCTGATAAGACTTCAGTACTTTACGTCAATAGTTCGTTACAAACTGACGTCATCTGGACGAGACTTTTGACTGTCATTGGTACGTCAATACATCAATATCACGTGAAATCTTTGGTCACTGTGACGTAATTGATGACCATTTATTCACGTGAAAAAGACAACATCATGTTGCCTGAGTATGAGCCCCAAGATCACGTGCAACGTCAGATCTTGTAAGGATGCGGTTATCAACATTATGATTAAATTTTATATCCCTAGTTTTTCGACTGCATGTCATAAGATAATATTTATCTTTGTTTAGTAAGAGTAACAAATGATTATCTATACACCATTGAAAGGCTTTATCAATGTTTTGTTGCGAAGATAGACAGTCATCATAGCATTACATAACACAATAGATCTTCAGGTCATCTACAAATACAAGAGAATGAACATCAATTATGTCATTGATAAACATACCAAACAACAGCGGCCCCAAAACAGAGCCCTGGGGTACTCCAGACTGCTGAAAAAACAACTTTCATTTGAAACCATTAACAGTAACAAACAGAGAACGATCATTTAAATATGACTATAATTATCTAGCGCTTCAGATAAAAAGTGTGTAATGGAAATCAAGTCAGTTTGTGTAGACCTTCTTTAACAAAGTCGTGTTGATTAACTTCAATCATTTAATATTAATAATAATAATAATAATAATAATAATTCTAAACATAAGTAATAATTAATAATTACTCTCTTGCGAAGATACTTAAAGCTAAATACTTAAGATCTTTTATATTTATATTAAAAATGTCACAATCTCTCAGTTTGTTGTTAAAATTACTACACATAACATTAATCGGGCTTTTTACCAAAATATTTGTGCGAGCGGTGGATAGATGCCAAGGTAAAGAGTGTCTATTATTTACACGTGGTACATGAAAGAAGATTTTGGCCAAAAGTTCACTGCAGTCAATTTTATAATTGACGATTTTAAAAAGAAACATTACAGCACTAACTTTTCTTCTAGCATGTAAAGACGGTATATTAAACTCTCTTTGAAGTATCAAATTGTCACATCCTCTAGCAGGGTAGGTGCCATATTTTTTAAACCATAAATATTTAAGAAATTTTTTTTGAACTGATTCGACGACATTAATATAGCAATAATAGATTGGATACCAAATTAGGCAACCATACTGTAAGCGTGATAAAATGTACGTATTAAACAGCATTTTCATAGGTTCAGTAGAAGTGAAGTCACGACATTGTCTAATTATAAATCCAAGCAAAGAGAGTGAATGTTTTACTACTTCATCAATATGGAACCGAAAAGAGAGCCGAGAATCAAAATAAATTCCCAAATCTTTTATAACATCACACCTGGTGACGTGTTCTCCATTTATTGTGTAATCAAAAACAATAAGAGATTTTTTATTACCAAATGACACAATTTTACATTTACTAATATTCAAGAAAAAGTTATTATTAGAACACCAAATTGTAAGTTTATGTAAGTCCTCCTGAAGTTGCAAAGCATCATTAAGATCATTTATAATACAAAAAAGCTTAGCATCATCTGCATATAATAGAATGTGACAATTCAGTGAATCAGGGAGATCATTGATAAAAACAGAAAAAAGTAGGGGCCCAAGATTGGAGCCCTGGGGAACACCAGATACTGCCTTAAAGAAGAATGATGAAAAACCATTGTAAAAAACGTATTGCAATCTATCACTTAAGTATGATCTTATAAGTTCCAAAAGTTTACCAGAAAAACCGTACGATTCTAACTTTAACAATAATAACCTGTGATCAATTCGGTCTAAGGCCTTTGCAAAGTCTGTGTAAACAGTGTCAACTTGGGACTGATTGTCAAGTGCCTCTGAAAGAAATTGTGAAAAACATGTGAGATTTGTTTCAGTGGAGCGTTTACTCATAAAACCATGCTGTTGAGGTGTTATGTAATTCTGAATATGAAAATAAATATGCGAGTACAGAACTATCTCAAAGATTTTAGCGAAGTTTGAAATTATGGATATTGGTCGATAATTACTGACATTCGATTTTTCACCTGATTTAAATATCGGGGTAACTTTAGAGGTTTTCCATTTTGAGGGAAAAGTACCAGTACTAAGAGCAACATTAAAGATTATTGACAGAGGCTGGACAAACAAACCTGCACAGTCACGTAATAGAAAGCTTGGTATTTGATCTGGCCCTGCTGTAAAAGAATTTTTAATATTACGTAAAGCAGACAAGATGTCTTTATCAGTGATTTTACTGATATTTATGGGAAGAGAGTGAACTCCAGTTGTAAATTTTTGTGACGATGAATTTTGCGACGAAGTGTAAGAAGTCTGAAAATACATAGCGAATGCATTAACTATGTCATTAGGTGAATTTAATATATTATCATTGTAAGCCATCTTACCCGGAATTCTTGTAAGACCTTTTTTTGATTTAACATAAGACCAAAATATTTTAGGATCTTTGGAAATATTTGTTTGCATAGAGTCAGTATATTTTTTGTAAGCAGCTTTTATTTGGTTTTTAATAATCTTACGGTAATATTTAAATTTAGAGTAGTAAAATTCGTTAAGTGACTGTTTAAATTTTTTGTGATAATAAGATTTAAATTTAATATTTTTAATAATAGAGAGATCGAACCAAGGTGGATACTGTACTTTATCTTGATGATTATGATATACTGGAACATGCTTATCCAAAACTTGATATAAAATGTCATAAAAACGCTCGGTTAGAATATCAATGTCATCAGAAGTATTTAAAACTGACCAATCAATGTTACACAGATCATGATAGAGGAAGTGAAACCTGGCTTTTTTAAAGTTATATACACTAGTATTAGGTGAATTATTAGCGGGGAAGCTATTAAATGTAGTGTTAGTTATGTTAACCACAATAGAGAGAGCAGGGTGGTAGCTGTCCTCTACAATTAAAGGGGAATCATCATGTTTGACAGAACAATCAACATTGGCAAAAACAAGATCTAGTAGCCTGCTGTTTCTATTTTTAATAACATTGTATTGCTCTAAATTTAAAAATTTACAAAAATTATTAAGAGTATTAACAAGAATATTATCATTGTTTATTATGAATTCTGGAACGTTAAAGTCACCCAGTAATAAGAAATTTTCATTTGTATTAAAGTTATCTTCAAAATATTCACAAAACCTTAACAACTCATTAAGTGATGGAGTTCTACAAAAATAAACAACAAAAATGTGTAAAAAGGTACCATTTAAAAAACATTTACAACCTACAATTTCAATCATATCCAGATCATTCCGTAATTGACTTAAATCAACAATTGTCACAGGTATATGGGTTCTCAAAGCAAGCAAAACACCACCTCCTCTGGACAAGTTCAATGCATTATACTTAATTACGGTCACATCTAAAAATTGTATATAAGTGAGGAGGGAAAATTTCGGAATCAGAAATAGAGTCTTGTAACCAAGTCTCTGTGATGCAAATAATGTCATAAGTTAAATCTAAAACCGAAATTGAAAGTTGGCTTAGTTTGTTTCGGATACTCCGTGTATTTTGATAATATAAAGAAGTAGATGAAATGTTGGGCTTTACGATTTTAAATGATTGGATACTTTTATAACGCGCGGAATACCTTTGACGAACTTAATTTGAAGATCGCTCTCCCCTTCAGCTTCTCTACGTTGTAACTCTTGCTTCACATTCCGAAAATATGCATTTTGTTTCGGCGTTTTGTCAGAGGATACCTTTACATTATGAAAACGCTGACTTTTCTGTATTCTGTTACGGTTTTCTTTTACCTTACGCAACACAGAAAGGACATGGTCCGGATTATCCAGAATAATACGAATAGGACGCGGAAGGGACCTATTGGGATCAAATTTGCCTAGTCGATTACACTTAAGGACAGTTGTAGTTGGTTCATCCTTATTTCCAAATTCGGCCAAAAATTCTTTCACGTAATCTAAGTCCTTAGAGATCTTTCCTGCGGGCGGCAATGTGGATGATTGTTCAGGAATACCATAAAATATCAAATTAGATTTACGAATCTGACGATCAGTCACTTCTTGAACAATTTCTTCGTAGTTGGTATCAGCGGGGACATTTTTCGCTTCCAGTAGTTGTTCTTGTAGAGTTTTTACCGAGTCTGATAACTTATCAATCAGTAACTTAAGTTGAGGAATAATTTCACAGCACTTGCAAGGAGATGCGGTGTTTGATTTTACAAGATTTCTGCAAGTATGACACTTCCATTCAAGACCGGTTATAGATTTAAAATTGTCGTATTGGCCCTTAGATATGTCTACACATTTAATGTGATAACACACACCACACTGCGAACATTTTAGTCCTGGGACTGTGGGAGTTATGAAACTATCGCACGTGCCACACGTCTGTGGCATCTTGACACACTCAGATTAAAGATTTATAAAAGTTTTTACAACTATGCCGAAAAATGTAGATAATTTGACAATGAAATTAGCGCAGCACCAAGAATACGTCTGCACAGGTCAACGGTATCGACTTTTTTGATGTACATCAATAATTTTTATTCAGAGTCACTGTCAGCATCAATTAGTGAAATCAAAATTTGTCTCTTTATTTGTTTCTTTTTGGACTTGTTTTTTGTTTTTTCAACATTCCTGCCACCATTCCACCAAAAAGGTCATATGTATCCTCTAATGTCGGTGCTTGTATTCATTTTCTGAAAGCTTATTCAATCACATCTTTCATATTTTTCTTTATTTGCGGAAACCACTTGGCTCTGGTGACATATTGTTTCTTACCGACCACTCTCTCTTCTATAAGACACTGGGGTTCTTATTATCTCAACTTCATCCTGAATTTCTATACGATGTCAGAGATATCAA